TTAAGACTAGTACAAACTTTTCATCGTCAAACTGTGAGATGTTCCTAATAAAAAAGAAAAAATTAATTTCTACAAATAGGACCAACACGCAAAGTTTGTTCTTGTATACATGTCATGATACTTGCCTGATATCATAAACTTCGTCACTGATACGAAGGACTCTTTCAGCATAAGCCTTCGGAGTCGGTAGAAAGTTCGGATTTTGCTTAACTCTCCCACATTCATATGTATCCAGTTTGATTTCATTGATAGTTAGTTCGTTGTAAGATGGTTCATCAATTGTAATGGTGTAGGATAAAGTATATCTTGGATAGTAAGAATCGCTCTTTTTCAATTCCGTCATAACGATTTCGTTGCTAAAGTACCAGCAATTTTAATTAATAGAAGTTATATAAAAAGTGTTACATGTATAAATACATACCCCTTGGAATACATTGACTCGAGCTTTAAAGCTAAATCATTCGCGATGTTTTTGTACATGGCCTCAGTCTCTTCTTGATACTTGACCGAATGTGTTCTATAATAGCCACGGTTCGCCTGGCTATTCAAAAGAGTTGCCCAATTTTTCGCTGTCTTCCATATTTTGTATGATTTCAAGAACTCATCCTTAATAGATTCCATCTCAAATTCAAAGACAGGAAAATCTTGGTCACCATATAGCTTCAAAACAAAGTCGATGTCGGTTATGTTAGCTGCGTCTTGCTCAGCCGCTTCAATCTCCTCGTTTAGAAACGTCTTTAAAGAATTTTGCTCTGAATCTTCTGAACTAACTGGCCAACCAACGAAACTCGCCACAGCCTTACCGGCTTTAATTAATAACTTATACCTATTAGAACCATCAGTTCCCTCATAACCGTTATAATCCTCATAGTCGTTAATGTTACTAAAAGCTTCATTACTGGTGTTAGTTTCACCGCTACTTCGTTTGTCTTGATTGATCAAATTGGACAAAAATTTCGTTAACTTCGATTTGCCCTTCTTATTATAAATTGCGAAGAAAAGCGACCCGTTTCCTTGATAATCCACCAGACTTTTCCTTGCTATATTGCTAGCGAGAATAAATTTTATCTTCGAGCTTTTCCATTGGGAATCGTCGATGACTTCTAATTCCCTGATAACTTGTTGGCAGAAATGTTTGTGATGCTGATAACAGTCTGTGTAGTCTTTGTATATTTGTGATACATTTAGAAAAGGGAAAATAATTTAACAAATGGAAATGAATCATAATCACTCTGTGCAAAAAGAAAGTAAGAAACACTTACTGGGATCGTCTTCAATATGACTTAAGTCGTTCTTCGGATTTTCGCCATTCAAAATACTAAAAGGATTCGTCGGGACTTATTACATCTCTATTTATATATGTTTGTTCAAATCAATATCACAAATCTGTGTACCTGTAATGTTGCTCAAGTTTCCATTCGGCCCATTCAATCATTTTCTTTTTATATTCTTCAAACTCTTTCCGCCTATTCTTTTCCATAGTCTCCTTCCGATACTTGTATGGCTTCAGCAGATTGGAGTCTTGCAAACCCTCTTCAACTAATGTCCACAACTCTTTGTATCCTAAATTTGACACTTTTAATGAATACTTCCCCTC